CCCCTTTCCTCCTTTTCCCCCATTTTTCTCCTTTTATCTCATTTTCCCTTTTTTCCCGTATTCCCCTTTTTTCCGCCTTTCCCCCTTCCCCCTTTTCCCCTTTTCCTCCCTTTTTCTCCTTTTCCCCCATTTCCCCCATTTTTCCTCCTTTATCCTTTGTTTTCCCCTTTTCCCATTTTTCTCCTTATTCTCCCTTTCCTTCCCATTTTCCCATTTTTTATTTTTTTCCCTTTTCCCCTTTTTTCCCTTTTCCCCTTTTTTCCCTTTCTGCCTTTTCTCCCTTTCCCCCTCTTTTTCCCATTTTCCCCTTTTTTCTCCTTTTCCCCCTTTTCTTCCCCTTTTCCCCCATTTCCCCCCTTTTCCCCTTTCCTCCTTTTCCCCCATTTTTCTCCTTTTATCTCCTTTTCCCTTTTTTTCCCTTATTCCCCTTTTTTCCGCCTTTTCCCCTTCCCCCTTTTCCCCCTTTTTTCTCCTTTTTCCCCATTTTCCCCTTTTTCCCCTTCTTTCCCCTTTTTCCCCCTTTTCCCATTTTTCTCGTTATTCTCCCTTTAATTCCCGTTTTCCCCTTTTTGATTCTTTTTTCCCTTTTCCGCCTTTTCTCCCTTTCCCCCTCTTTTTCCCATTTTCCCCTTTTTTCTCCTTTCCCCCTTTCCCCTTTTCCCCCTTTCCCCCCCTTTTTCCCCTTTCCTCCTTTTCCCCCATTTTTCTCCTTTTATCTCCTTTTCCCTTTTTTTCCCTTATTCCCCCTTTTTCCCACCTTTTCCCCTTTTCCCCATTTCTCCCCCTTTCCCCCCCATTTTCTCCTTTTCCCTTTATCCCCTTTTCTCTTTTCCCCCTTTTCCCCCCTTTTCCCCCTTTTTTCCAATTTTTCCCTTTTCCCCCTTTTTCCCCTCTTTCCCCCTTTTCCTCCACCCTCTCCACAACCACACTGTGAATCCCTCACTGTAAATTAATCAATTCCTCACCATTAATTAATTCAACAATTCCCTTAATTACCCCTAATTAACCACCCATCATTCCCCACCCCATTCCCGCCGTGTGTTTTTTTTCCCGGGAAAACCGGAATTCCGGATTTTTTGGCAGGAGGAGGATTTCCAGCGCCCCTCGAGCCGGGAGGAGGCGCAGCAGCTGCTGGAGCTGGAGCGGCTGCGCGTGGAGCAGGCCATGGAGCGGCAGCAGAGGGAGATGCTGGAGGACCAGCGGTGGCTCCAGCAGGAGGTCCAGAGCCTGGTCAGACATCCCCAAAAAAATTCCCAAAAAATTTCCCAAAAATCCCAAAAATTCAAAAAAATTCCCAAAAAATCCACCGGGAATTGCCCCTCCTGGGATGGGATCTCACCATGGTTCCAATCCCGATGGTTCGCGGTTCCTTGGGGGTTTCTGAAGAATTGGGTGGGGAGGGACCTCAAAGGAGATGCTGGAGGACCAGCGGTGGCTCCAGCAGGAGGTCCAGAGCCTGGTCAGACATCCCCAAAAAAAATTCCCAAAAAATTTCCCAAAAAATTCCCAAAAAATTCCCAAAAAGTTCCCAAAAATTCCCAAAAATCCATCGGGAATTGCCCCTCCTGGGATGGGATCACGCCATGGTTCCAGTCTGGACAGTTCGCGGTTCCTCCAGGGTTCCTGGAGCGTTCCAGGAGGTGGTCCAGAGCCTGGTCAGACATCCCCAAAAATTTCCCAGAAATTCCCAAAAAATTTTTCAAAAAATTCCCAAAAATTCCTTGGGAATTGCCCCTCCTGGGATGGGATCACGCCATGGTTCCAATCTGGACAGTTCGCGGTTCCTCCAGGGTTCCTGGAGAAATTCCAGGATCACCGGTGGCTCCGGCAGGAGGTCCAGAGCCTGGTCAGACATCCCCCAAAAAATTCCAAAAAATTTCCCAAAAATCCCAAAAATTCCAAAAAATTCCCAAAAATTCCCAAAAAATCCACCGGAATTGCCCCTCCTGGGATGGGATCTCACCATGGTTCCAATCCCGATGGTTCGCGGTTCCTTGGGGGTTCCTGAAGAATTGGGTGGGGAGGGACCTCAAAGGAGATGCTGGAGGATCATCAATGGCTCCAGCAGGAGGTCCAGAGCCTGGTCAGACATCCCCAAAAAATTCCCCAAAATTCCCCAAAATTCCCCAAAATTCCAAAAAATTCCCAAAAATTCCCAAAAAATTCCCCAAAATCCATCAGGAATTGCCCCTCCTGGGATGGGATCTCACCATGGTTCCAATCTGGACAGTTCGCGGTTCCTCCAGGGTTCCTGGAGCGTTCCAGGATGGGTTGGGTGGGGAGGGACGTCCAAGGATCACCGGTGGCTCCGGCAGGAGGTCCAGAGCCTGGTCAGAAAGCCCCAAAAATTCCCCAAAATTCCCCCAAAATTCCCCAAAAATTCCCAAAACTCCCAAAAAAGTCCCAAAAATTCCCAAAAATCCATCAGGAATTTGTGCCTCCTGGGATGGGATCTCACCATGGTTCCAATCCTGATGGTTCGCGGTTCCTCCAGGGTTCCTGGAGAATTGGGTGGGAAGGGACCTCAAAGGAGATGCTGGAGGACCAGCGGTGGCTCCAGCAGGAGGTCCAGAGCGTGGTCAGACACCACAAAAAATTCCCAAAAAATCCCAAAAATTCCCCCAAAATTCCCAAAACTTCCCAAAGTCCCCAAAATTCCCAAAAATTCCCAAAAAATCCCAAAAATCCATCGGGAATTGCCCCTCCTGGGATGGGATCTCACCATGGTTCCAATCTGGACAGTTCGCGGTTCCTCCAGGGTTCCTGGAGCGTTCCAGGATGGGTTGGGTGGGGAGGGACCTCCAAGGATCACCGGTGGCTCCGGCAGGAGGTCCAGAGCCTGGTCAGAAAGCCCCAAAAATTCCAAAAAATTCCCAAAAATTCCCAAAAATTCCCAAAAATTCCCAAAAATGCCCCAAAAATTCCCACAAATCCATCAGGAATTGCGCCCTCGTGGGATGGGTTGTGTGGGGAAGGACCTCAAATCCCATCCCATTCCAACCCCACCATCCCAGGGGGATCTGACCTTTCCTGGGACATTCCCAGGAATTCTCTGGGAATTCCTTCCTGGGTTTGGGATGGAGCCTGAGCCTTTGGGATGGATCCTGAGCCTGGGATTGGGATTGGGATTGGGATGGATCCTGAGCCTGGGATTGGGATTGGGATTGGGATGGATCCTGAGCCTGGGATTGGGATTGGGTTTGGGATGGATCCTGAGCCTGGGATTGGGATTGGGTTTGGGATGGATCCTGAACCTTTGGGATGGATCCTGAGCTCTGGAATTGGGATTGGGATGGATCCTGAGCCTTTGGGATGGATCCTGAACCTTTGGGATGGATCCTGAACTCTGGAATTAGGATTGGGATGGATCCTGAAACTTTGGGGTGGATCCTGAGTCTGGGATTGGGTTTGGGATGGATCCTGAGCCTTTGGGGTGGATCCTGAGTCTGGGATTGGATTTGGGATGGATCCTGAGCTCTGGGATTGGGTTTGGGATGGATCCTGAGCCTTTGGGGTGGATCCTGAGTTTGGGATTGCGTTTCGGATCGATCCTGAGCTCTGGAATTGGGTTTGGGATGGGTTTGGAACCTTGGGATGGATCCTGAACCTTTGGGATTGGGTTTGGGACGGATCCTGAGCCTTGGGATGGATCCTGAGCCTGGGATCGGTCTGGAATGGATCCTGAGCTCTGGGATTGGGACTCGGATGGATCCTGAAACTTTGGGATGGATCCCGAGCCTGGGATTGGATTTGGGATGGATTTGGAACCTTGGGAATGGTCCTGAACCTTTGGGATTTGGTTTGGGATGGATCCTGAACCTTTGCGATGGGGATTAGGATGGATCCTGAGCCTTGGGATGGATCCTGAGCCTGGGTTTGGGATGGACTCTGAGCCTGGGATTAGGTTTGGATTGGGATTGGGATGGATGCTGAGCTCTGGGGATGTTCTGAGCTCTGGGTCAGATTTGGGATGGATCCTGAGCCTGGGATTGGGTCTGGAATGGATCCTCAGCCTGGGATTGGGATTGGGGTGGACCCCGAGCCCAGGATTAGGTTTGGATTGGGTTTGGGATGGGTCCTGAACCTGGGATTGGGTTTGGGATGGATCCTGAGCCTTTGGGGTGGATCCCGAGCCTGGATTTGGTCTGCAATGGATCCTCAGCCTGGGTTTGGGATGGACTCTGAGCCTGGGATTAGGTTTGGATTGGGTTTGGGATGGGTCCTGAGCCTGGGATTGGGTTTGGGATGGATTTGGAACCTTGGGAATGGTCCTGAACCTTTGGGATTTGGTTTGGGATGGATCCTGAACCTTTGGGATGGATCTTGAGTTCAGGGATTGGGTTTGGGATGGATGCTGAGCCCTTGGGATGGATCCTGAACTCTGGGATTGGGTCTGGGATGGATTTGGAACCTTTGGGATGGATCCTGAACCTGGATTTGGTCTGGAATGGACCCTGAGCTTGGGATTGGGTTTGGGATGGATCCTCAGCCTTTGGGGTGGATCCTGAGTTTGGGATTGCGTTTGGGATGGATTTGGAACCTTGGGAATGATCCTGAACCTTTGGGATTGGGTTTGGGATGGATCCTGAGCCTGGGGATGTTCTGAGCCCTGGGTCACATTTGGGAGGGATCCTGAACCTTTGGGAATGAATTTGGGATGGATCCTGAGCCTGGGATTGGGTTTGGGATGGATCCTGAGCCTTTGGGATTGATCCTGAGCCTGGGATTGGGATTGGGATTGGGTTTGGGATGGATCCTGAGCTCTGGGATTGGGTTTGGGAAGGATCCTGAAATTTCAGGATTTGGTTTGGGATGGATCCTGAAACTTTGGGATGGATCCTGAGCTTTGTGTTTGGGTTTGGGATGGATCCTGAAACTTTGGGGTGGATCCTGAGCTCTGGGATTGGGACTCGGATGGATCCTGATCTCTGGAATTGGGATTGGGATGGATCCTGAAACTTTGGGGTGGATCCTGAGCCTGGGATTGGGTTTGGGATGGATTTGGCACCTTGGGAATGGTCCTGAACCTTTGGGATTGGGTTTGGGATGGATCCTGAGCCTTTGGGGTGGATCCTGAGTTTGGGATTGCATTTGGGATCGATCCCGAGCTCTGGGATTGGGATTGGGATTGGGATTGGGATGGATGCTGAGCTCTGGGGATGTTCTGAGCCCTGGGTCAGGTATGGGATGGATCCTGAGCCTGGGATTGGGTTTGGGATGGATTTGGAACCTTTGGGATGGATCCTGAGCCTGGGATTGGGTTTGGGATGGATTTGGCACCTTGGGAATGGTCCTGAACCTTTGGGATTGGGTTTGGGATGGATCCTGAGCCTTTGGGGTGGATCCTGAGCCTGGGATTGGGTCTGGAATGGATCCTGAGCCTTCCTTCCCAAATCCCACCCCAAACTCCCCTTTCCCATGGAATCCCCTCCATTCCCAGCCTGACATTGGATCCAGCCCCATCCCGATTCCTCCTGGAGAAGGAATTTTGGGATCCAGGGGTTCCCCTGGGAATTCAGGACTCCAGGGAGGGTCTCCCTTCCCTTTTCCATCCCTGAATTCCATAAAAATCCCTCGGGATGGATCCTGAGTGTCCTTGATCCCAGAATCCCGGAATGGTTTGGGATGGGATCCATGGACCTTCAATCCCATCCCAGGGACACTTCCCACCATCCCAGGGTGATCCAAATCCACCCTTGGATGCTCCCAGGGATTCTCTGGGAATTCCAGCCCAGCCAGGAATCCCTTCCCAAGATCCCAAAATCCCAAACTCCCCTTTCCCAGGGAATTCCCTCCATTGCCAGCCTGGCATTGGATCCAGCCCCACCCCGACTCCTCCTTGAGAAGGAATTTTGGGATCCACGGGCTCCACAATCCACAGAAATATTTGGAATTTTGGGCTACTTTAAGGCGTTTTCAGTTCCACTTTATTATTATTATTATTTTGAATATTTCGAATATGAGATTTTCCCCCCTTTTCCCTTTTATTCCTCCATTTTCCCCAATTTTCCCCAATTTCCCCAATTTTTCCCCAATTTCCCCCAATTTTCCCCAATTTCCCACATTTTCCCCAATTTTTCCCCCACCTCACACCATCTTTTTCCCACTTTTCCAGGATCCCAAAGTGTTCCTGAACAACAACATTCCCCCGGTGAGTAATCCCTGGAAAATCCCTGGAAAATCCCAAATTTTTTGGGTTATTTTGGGAAAATCTGGAATCTCCTCCTTCCCTTTCTGATCAATATTTATTTATTTATTTATTAATTTGGGAAAATCATCCAGAAAATGGGAAATCCCAAGAAAATCGGATCCCAGGATCCTTCCCGACATTCCAGCAGGAATTTGTTCCCTTTTTCCCAAATTTTGGGCGTTTCCACCCTCCATCCCAAATTTTAGGGCATTTTCTCCATTTATCCCAAATTTTGGGGCTCCTCCTCCCTCCATCCCAAATTTTGGGGTTTCTCCTCCCTCCATCCCAAATTTTGGGGCATTTCCTCCCAATATCCCAAATTTTGGGTTCCTTCTCCCTCCATCCCAAATTTTGTGGAATTTCCTCTCTTTTTCCCAAATTTTGGGGCTCTTCCTCCCTCCATCCCAAATTTTGTGGAATTTCCTCTCTTTTTCCCAAATTTTGGGGCATTTCCTCTCTCTATCCCAAATTTTGGGACTTTTCCTCCCTTTATCCCAAACTTTGGGGTTCCTCATCCTCCATCCCAAATTTTGGGGCATTTCCTCCCTCCATCCCAAATGTTGTGGAATTTCCTCCCTTCTTCCCAAATTTTGGGGTTTTTCCTCCCTCCATCCCAAATTTTGGGGCATTTCCTCCCTTTTTCCCTATTTTTGGGGCGTTTCCTCCCTTTTCCCCAAATTTTGGGGTTTCTAATTCCCGATTTTTCCCCATTTCAGCTCCTCCCGGAGAAGGAGACGGATTACAGTGAGTTCCTCCCAGTTCCCACCCGGAATTTTCCTCGGGAATGTTTCCCCCATGAGCAAAATTCCCATTTTTCCCGAGCTGGAAAATTTCGGGATTGGGATCCCGGGGTTTCGTGGCATTCCCGCGTTTTTCCCCGGAATTTTCCGGAATGATTTTCCCTCCTTTTTCCCAGCGCAATTCACGGGGCCGCCCCAGAAGCCTCCGAGACTCGGGGCTCAGGTAAGAGCCGGCACGGATCGGGATCGGGATCGGGGCCGGGATCGGGATCCCGCCGGGAAATCCCAAAAAATTCCAGGATGGTTTGGGTGGGAAGGGACCTTCAAGATCCCGGAGTGATCCAAATTTTCCTTGGACATTCCCAGGGATTCTCTGGGTCCAGGAATTCCTTCCCAAGATCCCAAAATCCCAAAATCTCAAAATCCCAATCCGGTCCTGCCATTCCAGGCCCTTTTCCCAAATCCCTCTGGATTGGATCCATCCCCATCCTGATTCCTCCTTGAGAAGGAATTTTGGGATCCAGGGGCTTCACTGGGAATTCAGGACTCCAGGAAGGGTCTCCCTTCCCTTTTCCATCCCCGAATTCCATAAAAATCCCTCGGGATGGATCCTGAGTGTCCTTGATCCCGGAATCCCGGAATGGTTTGGGATGGGATCCATGGACCTTCAATCCCATCCCATTCCAATCCCAATCCCAATCCTGGGGTGATCCCAACCTTTCCTGGGACACTGCCAGGGATTCTCTGGGAATTCCAGCCCAGCCAGGAATCCCTTCCCAAGATCCCAAGGGAAAGAACCTCCAACCCCACCCCATTCCATGGACACGGAATTCCAGGTTGCTCCAATCCCCATCCCAACCTTTCCCAGGGATGGCACCACCACAACCCCTGTGGACAGATGTTGATTTTCCCATTTTTCCTGGGATTCCTGATCCCGTTATCCCCGTTATTGTGGAATTTCTGATCCCCCATTATCTCTGTTATCCCGGAACTCCCGATCCCGTTACCCCTGTTATCCTGGAATTCCCTTGATCCCGTTATCCCTGTTATCCCTGTTATCCAGGAATTCCTGATCCTGTTATCCCTGTTTTCCCTGTTTTCCCGGAATTCCCGATCCTGTTATCCCGGTTATCCTGGAATTCCTGTGATCCCATTAACCCTGTTATCCCTGCTATCCAGGAATTCCTGATCCTGTTATCCCTGTTATCCCTGTTTTCCCAGAATTCCCGATCCTGTTATCCCTGTTATCCCTGTTTTCCCAGAATTCCTGATCCCATTATCCCTGTTATCCCTGTTATCCCGGAATTCCCGATCCCGTTACCCCGGTTATCCTGGAATTCCTGTGATCCCATTATCCCTGTTATCCCTGCTATCCAGGAATTCCTGATCCTGTTATCCCTGTTTTCCCGGAATTCCTGATCCCATTATCCCTGTTATCCCTGTTTTCCCAGAATTCCCGATCCCGCTATCCCTGTTATCCCTGTTGTCCAGGAATTCCTGATCCTGTTATCCCTGTTCTCCTGGAATTCTCCATCCCAGTATCCCTGTTATTCCAGGATTTCTGATCCCATTATCCCGGCATTCCCTACCCTGTTATCCCTGTTATCCCGGAATTCCCGATCCCGTTATCCCTGTTATCCCTGTTATCCCTGTTATCCCGGAATTCCCGATCCCGTTATCCCTGAATTCCCGATCCCTGTTTTCCCTGTTATCTTGGAATTCCCAATCCCGTTATCCCTGTTATCCCGGAATTCCTGATCCCGTTATCCCTGTTATCCCTGTTTTCCCAGAATTCCTGATCCCGTTATCCCTGTTATCCCTGCTATCCAGGAATTCCTGATCCTGTTATCCCTGTTACCCCTGTTATCCTGGAATTCCTGTGATCCCATTATCCCTGTTATCCCTGCTATCCAGGAATTCCTGATCCTGTTATCCCTGTTATCCCAGAATTCCTGATCCCATTATCCCTGTTATCCCTGTTTTCCCGGAATTCCCAATCCTGTTATCCCTGTTCTCCTGGAATTCCCCATCCTGGTATCCCTGTTATTCCAGGATTTCTGATCCCATTATCCCGGCATTCCCTACCCCGTTATCTCTGTTTTTTCCCAGCATTCCCGATCCCGTTATCCCTGTTATCCCAATCCTGTTATCCCTGTTATCCCAGAATTCCCGATCCCGTTATCCCTGTTATCCCTGTTATCCCTGTTATCCCGAATTCCCGATCCCGTTATCCCTGTTATCCCGGAATTCCTGATCCCGTTATCCCTGAATTCCCGATCCCTGTTTTCCCTGTTATCTTGGAATTCCCAATCCCGTTATCCCTGTTATCCCAGAATTCCTGATCCCGTTATCCCAAAATTCCCGATCCCTGTTATCCCGTTATCTTGGAATTCCCAATCCCATTATCCCTGTTATCCTGGAATTCCTGATCCCATTATTCCTCTCATCCCAGAATTCCCGATCTCGTTATCCCTGTTATCCTGGGAATACTGATCCTGTTATCCCGGAATTCCTGATCCTGTTATCCCTGTTCTCCTGGAATTCCCCATCCCGGTATCCCTGTTATTCCAGGCTTTCTGATCCCATTATCCCGGCATTCCCTACCCCGTTATCCCTTTTTTTTCCTGGCATTCCCGATCCCGTTATCCCTGTTATCCCTGTTATCCCTGTTATCCCGGAATTCCCGATCCCGTTATCCCTGTTATCCCAATCCTGTTATCCCTGTTACCCTGGAATTTCCGATTCTGTTATCCCTGTTATCCCTGTTTTCCAAGAATTTCTGATCCCGTTATCCTGGCATTCCCTATCCCTGTTATCCCTGTTATCCCGGGATTCCCGATCCCTGTTATCCCTGTTATCCCGGGATTCCTGATGCCGTTATCCCATTTTTCCTGGAATTCCTGATCCCGTTATCCGTGATCCCGTTATCCCTGTTACCCTGGTATTCCCGATCCTGTTATCCCTGTTATCCCAGAATTCCTGATCCCATTATCCCTGTTATCCCGGGATTCCCCATCCCCGTTATCCTGGGATTCCCAATCCTGTTATCCCAGTTTTTCCCGTTATACCTGTTATCCCGTTATCCCTGTTTTCCTGTTTTCCCTGTTTTCCTGTTATCCCATTTTTCCCGTTATCCCATTTTTCCCGTAATTCCAACCCCATTATCCCGGTTTTTCCCGGTTTTTTCCCGCTCCAGCCCATCCAGGCGGCGCCGACGGCGCGCCCGGACCGCTGGCAGGACGCGGTGTACGGCGGCGTGACGGAGCGGTGCCCGGAATTCCCGATCCCGTTATCCCAGTTATCCCCGTTATCCCCGTTATCCCTGTTTATCCCGGCATTCCTGTTATCCTGGAATTCCTGATCCCGTTATCCCTGAATTCCCGATCCCTGTTTTCCCTGTTATCTTGGAATTCCCAATCCCGTTATCCCTGTTATCCCGGAATTCCTGATCCCGTTATCCCTGTTATCCCTGTTTTCCCAGAATTCCTGATCCCGTTATCCCTGTTATCCCTGTTATCCAGGAATTCCTGATCCTGTTATCCCTGTTACCCCTGTTATCCTGGAATTCCTGTGATCCCATTATCCCTGTTATCCCTGCTATCCAGGAATTCCTGATCCTGTTATCCCTGTTATCCCAGAATTCCTGATCCATTATCCTGTTATCCCTGTTTTCCCGGAATTCCCAATCTGTTATCCCTGTTCTCCTGGAATTCCCCATCCTGGTATCCCTGTTATTCCAGGATTTCTGATCCCATTATCCCGGCATTCCCTACCCCGTTATCTCTGTTTTTTCCCAGCATTCCCGATCCCGTTATCCCTGTTATCCCAATCCTGTTATCCCTGTTATCCCAGAATTCCCGATCCCGTTATCCCTGTTATCCCTGTTATCCCTGTTATCCCGGAATTCCGATCCCGTTATCCCTGTTATCCCGGAATTCCTGATCCCGTTATCCCTGAATTCCCGATCCCTGTTTTCCCTGTTATCTTGGAATTCCCAATCCCGTTATCCCTGTTATCCCAGAATTCCTGATCCCGTTATCCCAAAATTCCCGATCCCTGTTATCCCGTTATCTTGGAATTCCCAATCCCGTTATCCCTGTTATCCTGGAATTCCTGATCCCATTATTCCTCTCATCCCAGAATTCCCGATCTCGTTATCCCTGTTATCCTGGGAATACTGATCCTGTTATCCCGGAATTCCTGATCCTGTTATCCCTGTTCTCCTGGAATTCCCCATCCCGGTATCCCTGTTATTCCAGGCTTTCTGATCCCATTATCCCGGCATTCCCTACCCCGTTATCCCTTTTTTTTCCTGGCATTCCCGATCCCGTTATCCCTGTTATCCCTGTTATCCCTGTTATCCCGGAATTCCCGATCCCGTTATCCCTGTTATCCCAATCCTGTTATCCCTGTTACCCTGGAATTCCCGATTCTGTTATCCCTGTTATCCCTGTTTTCCAAGAATTCCTGATCCCGTTATCCTGGCATTCCCTATCCCTGTTATCCCTGTTATCCCGGGATTCCCGATCCCTGTTATCCCTGTTATCCCGGGATTCCTGATGCCGTTATCCCATTTTTCCTGGAATTCCCGATCCCGTTATCCGTGATCCCGTTATCCCTGTTACCCTGGAATTCCGATCCTGTTATCCCTGTTATCCCAGAATTCCTGATCCCATTATCCCTGTTATCCCGGGATTCCCCATCCCCATTATCCTGGGATTCCCAATCCTGTTATCCCAGTTTTTCCCGTTATACCTGTTATCCCGTTATCCCTGTTTTCCTGTTTTCCCTGTTTTCCCGTTATCCCATTTTTCCCGTTATCCCGTTTTTCCCGTAATTCCAACCCCATTATCCCGGTTTTTTCCCGGTTTTCCCCCCAGCCCATCCAGGCGGCGCCGACAGCGCGCCCGGACCGCTGGCAGGACGCGGTGTACGGCGGCGTGACGGAGCGGTGCCCGGAATTCCCGATCCCGTTATCCCAGTTATCCCCGTTATCCCCGTTATCCCTGTTTATCCCGGCATTCCTGTTATCCTGGAATTCCTGATCCCGTTATCCCTGTTATTCCAGGATTTCTGATCCCATTATTCCTGTTATCCCGATACCGTTATTCCTGTTATCCCAGAATTTCTGATCCTGTTATCCTGGCATTCCCTATCCCCGTTATCCCTGTTTATCCCGGCATTCCTGTTATCCTGGAATTCCTGATCCCGTTATCCCTGTTATTCCAGGATTTCTGATCCCATTATTCCTGTTATCCCGATCCTGTTACCCCTGTTATCCAGAATTTCTGATCCCGTTATCCTGGCATTCCCTATCCCTTTATCCCTGTTATCCCGGCATTCCCGATCCCTGTTATCCCTGTTATCCCTGTTATCCTGGGATTCTTGATGCCGTTATCCCATTTTTCCTGGAATTCCCGATCCCGTTATCCCTTTTACCTCTGCTTTCCCAGAATTCCTGATCCCATTATCCCTGTTATCCCGGAATTCCCCATCCCCATTATCCTGGGATTCCCAATCCTGTTATCCCAGTTTTTCCCGTTATCCCCGTTATCCCATTATCTCCATTATCCCTGTTTTTCCCGTTATCCCAGCATTCCCGTTATCCCAGTTATCCCGGCTTTCCCGTTATCCCGGTTTTTTCCCGCTCCAGCCCATCCAGGCGACGCCCACGGCGCGCCCGGACCGCTGGCAGGACGCGGCGTACGGCGGCGTCACGGAGCTGTCCCCGGAATTCCCGATCCCGTTATCCCTGTTATCCCGTTATCCCTGTTATCCTGGAATTCCTGATCCCGTTATCCCAGTTATCCCTGTTATCCCAGAATTCCTGATCTCATTACCCCTGTTATCCTGGAATTTCTGATCCCGTTATCCCGGAATTCCTGAACCCATTATCCCCGTTATCCCTGTTATCCTGGAGTTTCTGATCCCGTTATCCCTGCTATCCCAATCCCATTATCCCTGTTATCCCCAGGATTCCCGACCCCATTGTCCCGGAATTCCTGATCCTGTTGTCCCTGTTATCCTGGAACTCCTGACCCCGTTATCCCCGTTATCCCAACATTCCCGCCATTCCCGTTATCCCGGCATTCCCGTTATCCCGGTTTTTTCCCCCCCCAGCCCATCCAGGTGGCGCCCACGGCGCGCCTGGACCGCTCTGGGGACGCGGTGTACGGCGGCGTGACGGAATTCCTGATCCCGTTATCCCCGTTATCCCAACATTCCCGTTATCCCCGTTATCCCGTTATCCCCGTTATCCCGGCATTCCCGTTATCCCGGTTTTTTCCCCCCAGCCCATCCAGGTGGCGCCCACGGCGCGCCTGGACCGCTCTGGGGACGCGGTGTACGGCGGCGTGACGGAGCTGGTGCGCGCCGTGCTGCAGCTCAAGGACGACATCGCCCGCGCGCCGCCCGACGGACACGTCCTGGCCGTCAAGGTGGGCCGGAATTCCCACCGGAATTCCCACCGGGACATTCCCGGAAAATCACAGAATGGGTCGGGGTGGGATCCGCGGACCTTCAAAATCCCACGATCCCAGGGACACTTCCCACCATCCCGGGGTGATCCAAACCCACCCTTGGACACTCCCAGGGATTCTCTGGGAATTCCAGCCCAGCCAGGAATCCCTTCCCAAGCTCCCACCATCCCAAGCTCCCCTTTCCCAGGGAATTCCCTCCATTCCATTCCCTTTTCCATCCCTGAATTCCATAAAAACCCCTCGGGGCGGATCCTGAGTGTCCTTGATCCCGGAATGGTTTGGGATGGGATCCACGGACCTTCAATTCCACCATCCCGGGGTGATCCAACTTTTCCATGGACACTGCCAGGGATTCTCTGGGAATCCCAGCCCAGCCAGGAATCCCTTCCAAGATCCCACCATCCCAAACTCCCCTTTCCCAGGGAATTCCCTCCATTCCCTTCCCTTTTCCATCCTGAATTCCATAAAAATCCCTCGGGATGGACCCTGAGTGTCCTTGATCCCGGAATCCCGGAATGGTTTGGGATGGGATCCATGGACCTTCAATCCCATCCCAGGGACACTTCCCACCATCCCAGGGTGATCCTAATCCATCCTGGTGGGATCCATCCCTTGGGATCCATCCCTGGTGGGACCCATCCCATCCCTGGTGGGCTCCATCCATCCACCCTGGTGGGATCCATGCATCCACCCTGGTGGGATCCATCCCGACGTTCTCCCATCCTGGTGGGATCCATCCCTTGGGATCCATCCCTGGTGGGATCCATCCCGTCCTGGTGGGATCCATCCCATCCTGGTGGGACCCATCCATCCACCCTGGTGGGATCCATGCATCCATCCTGGTGGGACCCATCCCATCCCTGGTGGGATCCATCCATCCCATCCTGGTGGGACCCATCCCTGGTGGGATCCATCCACCCTGGTGGGATCCATCCTGGTGGGATCCATCCCGATGTTCTCCCATCCCTGGTGGGATCCATCCATCCATCCTGGTGGGATCCATCCCATTCTGCTGGGACCCATCCCATCCTGGTGGGATCCATCCATCCCATCCTGGTGGGATCCATCCCGTCCTGGTGGGATCCATCCCTGGTGGGACCCATCCCTGGTAGGACCCATCCCATCCTGGTGGGATCCATCCCGACGTTCTCCCACCCCTGGTGGGCTCCATGCCGACGTTCTCCCACCCCTGGTGGGCTCCATGCCGACGTTCTCCCATCCCTGGTGGGACCCATCCCATCCCTGGTGGGCTCCATGCCGACGTTCTCCCATCCCTGGTGGGCTCCATGCCGACGTTCTCCCACCCCTGGTGGGCTCCATGCCGACGTTCTCCCCCCCGCAGAACATCGGGCTGTCCCTGCGGAAGCTGATGGGCAGCGTGGACGCCGTCCTGCCCGAGCTGCCGCCCTCGTCCCGCACCGAGGTACCGACACCGGGAACCGGGGGGGGACACTCCCGAAAATCCCGCTCGGAACATTCCGGGAATTTTCGGGAAAAAATTCTGGGATTTTATGGGGAAATTATGGGATTTTCTGGGAAAATCATGGAATTTTCTGGAAAGAAAACCTGGAATTTCCTGGGGAAATTCTAGCAATTTCTGGAAAAATTACGACATTTTTTTGGGAGAATTCTCAAAATTTCTGGAAAAACTCTAAAATTTCCCAGGGAAATTCCCTAGAAAAATTCCTGAATTTTCTCAGAAAATTACGGGAATTCCTGGGAAAATTCTGGAATTCTTTTTTTTTGGAAAAATCCTGGAATTTCCTACAAAAACCCCGGAACCTTCCGGAACATTCCGGTTGCAGATCGAGGGCACGCAGCGGGCGCTGAACAAGGAGCTGGCGGCGCTGATCGCCAAGCTCCGCCTGGCGCAGCAGAACCGCGGCTCCTCGCTGGGCCCCGAGTGCCGCCGGCAGATGCTCGCCGCCGCCCACGCCCTCGCCGTCGACGCCAAAAACCTCCTGGACGCCGTCGACCAGGCCCGGCTCCTCGGCAAACCCTGCCCGGAATCGTGATCGTCACGGGGATGAGATGGAAAGTTCCGAAACGGGAGGAAAATTGGATTTTGCTGCAGTGGTTTATTCGTTTTCCTGCTCTTCTTCTTCTTCCCGCTGCTCCTCCTCATCCTCATGTCCTGTCAAGCGTCGCGATTTGGAAGATGGGAGGGGTCTGGTGGGGTTTTTCCTTGGGAAAATTGGAAGTTTTGGGGTTTTATTTGGAAAAAATGATGGGGTTTGGGGGCGGTTTTTGTGGAACAAAAGGGAGGTTTTGGGGGTGTTGGGCTGATCCCACCTGGGGTTTTCCTTGGAGGAAAAGTTGGTTTTGGGGGTTTTACTTGGAAAAAAAGGAAAGCCCTTGGGAAAAAGTGATGTTTTGGGGATTTTATTTGGAAAAATGGAGGGGTTTTTGGGGTTTTTATTTGGAAAAGATGGAAGTGTTTTGGGGTTTTTATGTGGAGAGAAGGCGCCGATGGGGCAGATGCTCGCCCACGCCCTCGCCGTCGCCATCGACGCCAAAAACCTCCTGGACGCCGTGGACCAGGCCCGGCTCCTCGGCAAACCCTGCCCGGAATCGTGATCGTCACGGGGATGAGATGGAAAGTTCCGGAAACGGGAGGAAAATTGGATTTTGCTGCAGTGGTTTATTCGTTTTCCTGCTCTTCTTCTTCTTCTTCCCGCTGCTCCTCCTCATCCTCGTGTCTTGCCAAGCGTCGCGATTTGGAAGATGGGAGGGGTCTGGTGGGGTTTTCCTTGGGAAAATTGGAAGTTTTGGGGTTTTCCTTGGAAAATTTGAGGGTTTTTCCTTGGAAATAATGAGATTTTTTGGGTTTTTATTTGAAAAAAAATGAGGTTTTTAGGGGTTTTTTCCGTGGAATAAAGGGAGGTTTTGGGCGTGTTGGGCTGATCCCACCTGGGGTTTTCCTTGGAAAAAAAAAGGTGGGTTTGGGGGTTTTGTTTCGGGAAATGGAAGATTTTGGATTTTCCTTGGGAAAAAAAGGAGGTTTTTGGGGGGAGAAGGGAGGTTTGGGGTTTTTATTTGGAAAAACAGAGGTTTTATTTGGCAAAAATGAGGGGTTTTGGGTTTTCCTTGGAAAAGGGGGAGATTTTGGGGGAAAAAAGGGGAGGTTTTGGGGTTACTCTTTGGTAAAAAGGAAAACCCTTGGGGAAAAAAAAGGAGGATTTTTTTGGGGGGTTCCCCTTGAGAAAATGGAGGGGTTTGGGGGTTTTATTGGGGAAAGATGGAAGAGTTTGGGGTTTTTATGTGGAGAGAAGGCGCCGATGGGGAAGAACCTCCTGGGCGCCGTGGGCCAGGCCCGGCTCCTCAACAAACCCTGCCCGGAGTAAAGGAGGAGGCGGAAATCGGGACGGAAAGTTCCGGAAACGGGAGGAAAATTGGATTTTCGCGGTGGTTTATTCGTTTTCCTGCTCTTCTTCTTCTTCTTCCCGCTGCTCCGCCTCATCCTCGTGTCCTGCCAAGCGTCGCGATTTGAAGGATGGGAGGGGTCTGGTGGGGTTTTCCTTGGAAAAATTGGAGGTTTTGGGAAAAACAAGGAGGTTTGGGGGTTTTATTTGGAAAAAAAGGGAGGTTTGGGGGTTTTTATTTGGAAAAATTTAGGTTTTTTTGGGGTTTTTCCATGGAAAAAATGGAAGTTTTGGGGGGTTCTGAACTGCGGCCGTGGACGCCAAAAACCTCCTGGACGCCGTGGACCAGGCCCGGCTCCTCGGCAAACCCTGCCCGGAATCGTGATCGTCACGGGGATGAGATGGAAAGTTCCGGAAACGGGAGGAAAATTGGATTTTGCTGCAGTGGTTTATTCGTTTTCCTGCTCTTCTTCTTCTTCTTCCCGCTGCTCCTCCTCATCCTCGTGTCTTGCCAAGCGTCGCGATTTGGAAAATTGGAGGGGTCTGGTGGGGTTTTCCTTGGGAAAATTGGAAGTTTTGGGGTTTTCTTTGGAAAAAATGAGGTTTTGGGGGGGTGTTATCTGAAAAAAAATCGGAAGTTATTGGATTTTCCTTGGAAAAATCTGAGGTTTTTCCTCGGAAATAATGGGGGTTTTTTGGGGTTTTCTCCAAGGAAAAAAGGGGAGGTTCTGGGTCTTTTCCTTGGAAAATAATGAGGTTTTTTGGGAGGTTTCCTTGGAAGAAATGGAGGTTTTGAGGGTTTTCTGCCCGGCTCCTCGCCAAACCCTGCCCCCAGTGACGGAGGAGGTGGAAAGTTCCGGAAACGGGAGGAAAATTGGATTTTCCCGGTGGTTTATTCGTTTTCCTGCTCTTCTTCTTCCCGTTCCTCCTCACCCTCTTCGTGTCTTGTCCGGCCTCACTCTTTGAAGGATGGAAGCGTTGGGCGGTTTGGGGCTTTTGATTGGAAAAATGAAAGTTTTTGGGGTTTTCCTTGGAAAAATTTGAGGGCTTTCCTCGGAAATGATGAGGGGTTTTGGGGGTTTCCTTGGAAAAAACGTTTTGGGAGGAAACAAGGGAGGTTTGGGGTCTTTGCCTTGGAGAAAATGAGGGGGTTTGGGGGTTTCCTTGGAAAAAAGGGAAGTTTTGGGGAAAAAAGGGAGGTTTTGGGGTTTTATTTTGGAAAAAATGGAAGTTTTGGGGTTTTTAATTGGAAAAAATGGAAGTTTTTGGGGTTTTATTTGGAAAAAATGATGGGTTTTGGGGGTGGTTTTTGTGGAACAAAAGGGAGGTTTTGGGGGTGTTGGGCTGATCCCACCTGGGGTTTTCCTTGGAAAAAATTGAAGTTTTTGGGGGTTTTATTTGGAAAAAAAATGGAAGTTATTGGGTATTTATTTGGAAAAATTGAGGTTTTTTGGGGTTTTCCTTGGAAAAATGAGAAGTTTTTGGGAAAAAGGAGGTTTTGGGGTTTTACTTGGAAAAAAATGGAAGTTATTGGGTTTTTATTTGGAAAAAAATGAGGTTTTTGGGGGGGTTTTCCTTGGAAAAAATGGAAGTTTTTGGGCTCTTATTTGCAAAAAAGGGAGGTTTTTGGAAAAAAAGGGGGGGTTGGGGAGTTTTCCTTGGAAAAAAAGGGAAGTTTGGGGGCTTTTCCTTGGAAAAAAAATGGAAATTTTGGGGTTTTTATGTGGACAAAAGGAGGATTTGGTGTTTTCCTTAGAAGGAAGGAAAACCCTTGGGAAAAAAAAATGATATTTGGGGGGTTTTATTTGGAAAAATGGAAGTTTTGGGGGTTTTATTTGGAAAAGATGGAAGTTTTGGGGGGGGTTATTTGGAAGAAATGAGGTTTTTTGGGGGTTTTGTTTGGAAAAATTTGAGGGGTTTCCTTGGAAAAAATGAGGGGGGGTTGGGGTTTTTATTTGGAAAAAAATTGAAGTTTTTGGGGTTTTTCTCGGAAAAATTTGCGGGTCTTCCTTGGAAATCAAGAGGAGTTTTTGGGGTTTTTATTGGAAAAAATGAGGGGGTTTGGGGGGTTTCCTTGGAAAAAAGGAGGTTCCTTAAAAAAAGGGAGGTTTGGGGGTTTTTCCATGGAAAAAAAAGGAAGTTTTTCGGAAAAAAAAGGGAGGTTTTGGGGGGTTTTCCTTGGGAAAAAACCGAGGTTTTTTGAGGTTTTATTTGGAAAGAAATGGAAGTTATTGGGTATTTATTTGGAGAAAAAGGAGGTTTTGGGGTTTTTTCTTGGAATAAAAATGAGGTTTTTTGGGGTTTTCCTTGGAAAAATGGGGGTTTTGGGGGGTTTTATTTGGAAAAAAAATGGAATTTTGGGGGGGTTTTATTTGGAAAAATGGGAGGGTTTGGGGTTTTTCCTTGGAAAAAATGGAAATTTTGGGGGTTTTATTTGGAAATAAGGAAAACCCATGGGAAAAAAATGAGGGTTTGGGGGTTTTGCATGGAAAAAAAAAGGAGGTTTTTGGAAGAAAAGAGAGGTTTTGGGGGTTTCATTTGGAAATAATGGAAGTTTTTGTGTTTTCATTTGGAAAAAAATGAGGGTTTGGGGTTTGCTTTGGGAAAAAAAAAAAAGGAGGTTTTTGGGGATTTCCTTGGGAAAAACGAGCTTCATTTGGGTTTTCCATGAGAAAAAAAAAAGGGAAGTTTCGGGCTTTTCCTTCAAAAAATGAGAATTTGGAGTTTTGCTTGGGAAAAAAGGAAATTTTGGGGTTCTTTTCCTTGGAAAAGCTTTTCTTTTGTTGGGTTGGGTGGGATCCTTGGGATCGCGGGCGGCACGGCGGGACCGGGGCCTGGAACGCGGAACTTTTTGGGCCGAAATTCCCAAATTTCGGCGTTTTCCCTCCCTCGGACGTTGCGCGGAAGATTTTATTTGACGGCGGCTTCCGGAACCTTCGGAATTCGGGGCCCCCCCCCGTGGGGGGACGCAGCAAACCTGGGGAACATCGCCTTTTCCAGCTCAGTTATTCCCAAAAATTTTGCGCTTTCGGTTTTTCCCCGCAGCGTTTTTCCCGAATTTTTGGGGGTTTTTGTTGCGTTTTTGGGGGTTTTTTGTCGTATTTTTGGGTTTGGTTTTTGTTTTTTCCGGCTCGGATAAAACGTGCGCCAAATCCTGCCCTGGTTTGTCCTTCCTGTCGCTCCCAGCCGGAATTTCCCTGGGAAGAGGAAGGGTCGGGGTGCTCGGAGACTTCTGGGGGCGGCGGCCGTGGAACTGCACATGGAATGGGATCAGCGTCCCGCGCCCAAAACGACCTCCTGGGATGGTGGGGTGGTGGGACCATGGGATGGTGGGACCATGGATGGTGGGATCATGGGATGGTGGGATCATGGGATGGTGGGACCACGGCATGGTGGGACCATGGGATGGTGGGATCATGTCCATGTCCCTTCTGCAAGGACCATCCACAGCGTTATCCCTGTCCCACAACCTCCTGGGATGGTGGGACCACGGGATGGTGGGACCATGGGATGGTGGGACCACGGCATGGTGGGACCACGGCATGGTGGGACCATGGGATGGTGGGACCATGGGATGGTGGGATCATGGGATGGTGGGACCACAGCATGGTGGGACCACGGGATGGTGGGATCGTGTCCATGTCCCTTCTGCA